ATCAGATACATCTCGAGATTTCCTCCATTTGCGCTCTAGCCCCCTTCTCGTATGCTTCATCACGACCAGCTCCTCGGTGAACCAAGGAGATGGCCTTTCACGACGCAACGAGATGGGGCGTTCAGGTGCGATCGTATCTAACGCCCTGGCCATCTCCCCATTATAGAGAGCTACCAAGGCGTCGATAGAATCGCCAGGCTCCAAGGCAGGAAGAACCCTAAGATTCCTCAGGAATCCGTCCGGATCCATCAGTCTCCTAGGGCGGACCATCTTAATTTGTCCTCCACCCCTGCGGAGGTTAAGGGTCGCAGTAAGTCTAAATGTGATCAGATGATGGTCAGACCATGACACTGGAAGGATGTTTTGATCTTCCACTCTAAACGAATCGTCGTCCGCCACAAAGACAAGGTCGAGAGTGTGCCCAGCTTGATGCGTGGGGCCGGATATTATCTGTGACAGTCCTATGGCCGTCATGGTGGCCATAAAGTCCTGAGCTGCGCCAGATAAAGTGGTCTCAGCGTGGATGTTAAAGTCTCCCAGCACCACCAGGCGCTGGGAGACCAGGGCCGAATTAGAGACCACCTCCGCTAACTCAGACAGGGAAGCTGCTGGATCTCGGGGTGGGCGATACACCAGCAGGAACCCCACACTGTCACGGCTCCCCACCTTCAAGTGGACGCATTCAAACCCAGAGGCTTGCGGGACAACGCATCTGGTCACGGCGATGGATTGCCGGAAGACCACTGCGACCCCTCCTCCCCGCCCCCCTTGTCTGGCCTGTTGATGCACTCCAAAACCTGGAGGACACAGCTGGGAAAGGTTTACACCCCCCACCTCGTCCAACCAGGTCTCGGTGATGCATGCCAGATCCGCCCTCTCATCCAGGATCAAGTCCTGAATGGCCGCGGTCTTACCATTTACGGATCTGGCATTGATCAACAGGACCTTGAGACCAAGGGGGCTGCCAAGGAGCCTACCATCACCTACCTTTCCCAGGGTCGCAAGGACTCTGTTGCGCTTCTCCCTGGGATGTTTGTGACCTGCAGATCTCCTTCCCCACACGACTCGAATAGCACCCCCTTTCTCTGGAACCTTCCCCCCCCCTGCCCGGCCAGAATCTAGTCAGCTCTCAGGGGAGGAAGTTGGGCTGGGGAATAATCTCCCTTGGGCATTTGGTAGGGATGAGTCTGATGTTAAAGTAGATAGAGAGGCATCAAGGGAACTAAGTGGGCTGAATAAAGGGAGCGTTCTCGAGCGGGGAAGTGTGACTGGCTGAGTGGAGGCGACCGGGGCAGATGGGGTCTCAAAGTTATACGAACCAGGAGGGGGGGCCCTAATTGGTGAGCTAGTTGTGGAGTTCGCCCGGGGGCCAGGTGGAGTATGGTGGGACAATTCCCCAGGATCAAACAAGGGGCGGATGTGAGGGTCCACAACTACCCTCCTAATAGTAATGCCCCATTTCTTTAGGCCAGGTTGTTTAGCCATCAGCTCACCAAGCCAAGTGCTGTCTTCTGGTGAAATTTGAAGACGGGTGGAACGATCAGAGGATTGATAATCCCTCCACAACCACACTATGGCTTTTAGTCTTATATCCTGTGATCTTTTACCTAGGATCTGGGCCAAGGAATTACAGACTGCCCTCTTGGAAGTCCATCTGCCTCTGTTTATCATTTGGTCGGCAATGTCCACTGCAAAATTGTCCGTAGGAAGATGTTGATTCCGATTATGAAGTGCAGTGGACTGATCCATGAGGCCAGATGTTGTATTATTGGCCGTTCTCTGAGTAGCCAGTCCAGTCCGCTGCCCCTCCCCGGTGTTTCTGTTCCTATATACGCCCAGAGATTCTCCTTTTCCCTCAGATGTCTCTTCTTTAATCCCTCCCTCCCTCCCTCCTTCCACCTTATGTTCCGAATGCTCTAAAGTGCTTTCCTCCCCATTCCGGCACAGGTCCTTAGCTAAGTCTGCACAGAGAGAGTCTACAGTCCTTGGAGGGTTAGATTGCACAGTAGTTCCTGAGAAAGAGGCAAAGCCTCTAAGAAGATGGTCCATTTTCTCGTTCAAAAACCTGAGCTGAAACAACACATGGTTGAACGAGTCCCTCAAGAGGTCGTAAAAGTGCAAGATATCATTTTTCGCATAAGGGTCCGCTGTAGCCATTCCTATGTCGAATAGTTCACTCTCTGTGTATGTTGTAATCTGTTCTGAGTCCCCTTCGGGAGACAGAGTGGAGTGTGACCGACTCTGGAGGTTGGTACTCATCTTCATTTCTAAGCCGAGGAGCCGGCGTTGTCTGTAGACACCTCCAAGGTCATGTGGCCGGCATGACTGCATGAAGCGCCGTTACCTTCCCACCAGAAGGTACTCATATTTGTATGTTTTCGAACTAGTAGGTTGGCAGAAGCTGAGGCTAACAGTGGGAGCTCACACCACTCCCTGGATTCACACCTGCAACCTTTCAATCAGCAATTCAGCAGCTTAACCCACTGGCCACCAGGAGCTCCGATATAAATAAAGTGTATCATTATTATTATTATTGTTGTTGTTGTTGTTGTTGTTATTATTATTATTATTATTATTATTTCATAAACAACAACCAGATTAGTAAACAGCAAACAAGATCACTATGCTGGCTGTATATTATTATTATTATTATTATTATTATTATTATTACTACTACTACTACTACTACTACTACTACGTGTCTGCCCTTTTGAGCATTCCCCTCCTGTTATTAGTTTTTGCTGACCATTTTCAAGGATTAGGTTTATCTTGATTCTGTTTGGTTTTTCAGATCTCTTGGAACACTGGTAAAGAAAAGCAGTCATCCCTCCACATTTGTGGTTTTCACTTTTGTGGATTAGATTATTTGTGGATTAGATTCAAACGTTTTCTTTAGGGATGTTTACAACCTCCAGTATGATTCTATTGTCAACTTTCTCCAGTCATGCAGGGGACCTAGATTTTTCTAGATATCTCTAGATTTTCCAGTGTGGGTCTATGGTCAGATTCCAGTGGGATATAAATACTGTAAATAAATAAATAAATAAATAAATTCAACCGGAGTCATGCTGGAAGACCTAGAAATTCTTAGAGAGGTATTCTCTCAAGTTAAAAAAGCAATTTATTTTGTACTCTGAATCCAGCTGCAAGGAGAGATGGATCATACTATCATTGTTGTTGATGGTGATGTTATTTGTGGTTTTACACTTTCACAAAGCCCCTAGCCCCAGCAAGTGTGGAGGAATGATTGTACTTACATCAATTTACACATACGTCTATTTTTTCATAATAATTTTTTTATAATTGAAAAGGCTTTCACTGGGTCTTCTTCTCCTTCCATTGAATCATGAGACACTTCCTCTCGTCACACCTCCATGTCTAAGTCCATTCTTTCCCAATTCACTGATGTCCCCATCACTTCCCCATACAAGCTGTACCCTCCTATAGTAAAAGGCAAGCCCTTTTCCCTCTTGAGCAACCAAACACCTACCTAAGCATTGAAGCAACCTCCAGCCCCATGTTCTGTGGGCAGAGCGCAAGGCTGGCATGCAAAGTTCACAATATCTCCAACACACAAAGCATGATCTCCCAGTCCCGCCACATTTTTCCCCATTCTTTTTTGTGACAAATAAGTAACCAGAACCTCTTTAGTCTTCCTCTCTTGAAGGTTTTGCATAAAGATGCCAAGGAGGTCTATGTTGGAATGAAACCCATAAGCTTATGTCATCGCATATTTCATGGCATTCCTTTGAGAGGTTTTAGAGCCTGCCTTATGCAATTACAATGACTCTGGACAATGCTCACTTGTTTGTTTTTCCTTAACTTGGCTTCTGGTTCCTTCAGCTTAATTGGGGTCTCTGCTGGTTGTAATCAAATGTTTTGAAGCACCACATTTTTAAAGTT